CCCATCCCACACAGGCCACCCAACCAGAACCGCCCATCCCCCCGAAAAAAAAACAAAAAAAAACGCTTCAACCATGCCCCTCCTTCCAACCTTCTTTGGGGAGAGCAGAGGTGACAGAAGTGCCTGTTCTTAAACTCACTATAATGGCTGACCCATAGTAATTTTTCAAGAAAGCCTATCTCAACTATTTAATTGCTTTAACCTTTACTATTTGCTGGAATTAGTATAAAAATAAAACATCTGTTTATCAATTCATTTAGGGTAATGGTACACGTGCAATTGAGTCAGCAGCCAGACATCTTGTAGCATTGCTAAAGACTACCCTGGCTGCAAGTGGTTCATCTGCGTCACCAAGTGCCAGAGTACCAGAAACTAGACAGCCTGAGTGTCGAACTGTCCAGCAAGAGATGACAAGGTCTCTACTTGTTTTTTGGTTTAGTTTCTCAGTAATGTTTTTGTCACTCTTTTCGTCTCATTCACTCTTTCTTTCTTTTCTATTTCACTGTTTTGGTCAACAGATCGTTTCCAGGCTTTTTTAAATCAAGCATTCGTGGTAAAAAGAGGTGTTTCCATTCTACAAAGCAACTACAGTTAGCCACAAAGACCACAACAGTTAATTTTTATCTGCTACCAAGAAATACTCCCCACACAATTACCAGCTGAGGAACTTGAGCTCATCCAAGCTGGTTTGGGGAAAAAAGCTGTGACCCTCCCTGAGGATGCAGACCACACAGAGGTACTGTTGCCATTCCAGTTGATTGTTTTTTGGCGAATTTCTATAAAAAATTGCCTGATCATCTTAGTTGATATCATTTTTTTCAACACATAATTTCATAAATAAGTTTATGAAAATAAAAAGATTCATGCAAAACATTTGGAAATTTGACTGTTGCAAATTTAGTGACCGTATTACAGAAAAGATTGGAGTGAATAAAATAGATTTTAAGTACATGGATTATATGAATGTTACAAGACATGTTAAAAGAAGACTCATTCCATAGCAAACACCAGGATGTTTGAGTTGACATACAACAATTTGTTGTTATCAAAGTTGATTGAGCTGCTGCTCTCAATGGTATATGTTCTCTGATTTTGCATTTCTATGAATCAAGATTTCCAGACTTCTGACTGAAACATTTCCAAAGATGGAAGGTCTTTTGGGAGGATGGCTGTTGCACAAAGCCATAGGTTTGAGATGTTGTTATTCGGCAACTTTTTGTTATGCACTATATACCATCATAGTATCTTGATTAGTGTTAGTACATATGTGATGTAATGTATTATGCTACAAGGATTAGTAGTGGTTGCAGAGGATGTGGAATACATTTCTAATCTCTACAAAACGATTTTTGTGGCTATGTTTTGTTTTTTTCTAAATAGGAGGCAGTGGTCGAAGAAAGCTCACAGTAATACCACCAGAAACTGAGGGCTATTCTGTCAGAGAGTTGAAAGCTGTTTCAGGAGGGGGGAAAGCAACCCTTTACATAGTACCTCTTCAGGAGACTCTAGACACATGTGCTCTGCTTTCTGACTCTCAACATTTTTCAAAGATGCCAAAGAAGACTTGTTACCAGTGTTATGAAGTGATGCCTCTGCATGTCCTTGCATTACATATCAAGACATGCACAGGAAAGGTGGATTCTGATGGAAGCATGGGTGAGGTGAGGGTCTTTTATTTAATTTTTTTTTTGTTGTTGTTGAAGCAAAATTCCAAAATCTAAAGGTTGTACTGTTGCTTATTTCAGGACTCTTACTCATGCACTGCAGAGAAAAAAGCAAAGGCAAGCCAAACAAATTACTTGATTTAAAAAGTACGAGGTTTTTTCAAAACCTATATTAATGTTTCTCTCATATTTACAATTTTCATTAAAAATTTCAGGTGGTTTGCCCAATTTGCAATTGAGATTTTCCTGAAGATTAAATCACACTTCATGCTAGCCTGTGTGGAGATAGGTGACACTTAATTTACTTGGTTTATGTGTTTATTAGAATGTTCTCCATATACATATGTTTATCTATTTTTTATATTGTGTTCCATAAACAGCTTTGACTCTACGACTTGCAATGGTGCATATCCATCTCCGGAAACTCCTGTATGCAAACCAATAAGGTATGTATTTAATAACTATAGCAAATATTTTCATGCCTAATTAATCGTGAAATGTTCACCAACTTTAACAGTTACCATTTACAGTTCCCTCCATGAAATTAAATGTTTCAAATGCACACATTATAATTTTTACTGTAGGGCTTTGTTTAAAGGCATGACAGTGGTGCAGCAGATAGGGAGATTTTCTTGTCAACAGGTTGCTGGTTTGAAACCCTGCTCTGTTTGTCTCTGTTGTCTCACTTTGCCCACTTTGCCTGGTGGTGCCAATTGTCTGGCAGCCATGCTTCTGTCAGTCTGCCCTAGGTCTGCTGTGGCTAAAATGTAGCTTGTCAGAGAGTGAATGTGTAGTGTGAAGAGCTTTATTAACTTATGCTACATAAGGCGCTATTCAAGTATATGATATTTACCATTTACCATATCTTGATAAAATAAGCGTGATATTTGCATTGCGTGTATTTAAGAATCTGTAATTTATTACTAATATATTTCTATCTGCTTCTTTAAGCACGGAAGATGTTTACACTTTCTTGAAACACAAGTAGACAGTTCAAAGGAATTCAGACGGTGTGTGGCCAGAGAAGACCTTTTAGAAAGGGGCATTCTCCAGTGGCAGAGGAAAAAAACTGCATTCCCAACAAGTGTTCTCAAGGTGGGCTAT